AAAAAAATAAAAAAAAAATTATAAAAAAAAAATTTTGTTAAAAAAAAAAAAAAAAAAAAAAAAAATTATATTTAAAAACTATTTTTCGAAATAAAAGAAAGACATGAATTATAGTTTAATTTGTATGCGATCATGCCTGAAGGCCTTTGTTGCTCTGGCTTAACGAAAATTGTTATTTGGAATTAATTCTTGGTAACAATAAATAAATAAATAATTGTATGGGATCATATTTAGCGAGTTGCAGTAGATCAACTCTGCGGTCTTAATTTAAATTCATGTCTTCCCTTTAGCCCCTTAGCCTGCCTGTATATTCTACAGTACCATAAATAACAGTTCGTTGTCATTAAATCGAAAAAAATAAGATAGAATGCTGATCAAAAAAATCTATTTAACCATTTTCAGGATTTAAGTCCCTACACATCACATTCATCAGCATTCATCAACGACCACAAGACCCACAAAATATCCCAACTTCATGGAGGAGTGCAGAGAAGTGCGAGAGATTCGTTTTGGGGCTTTTATTCAAAGGAGGCTAATGTGATGAAAGCTGCGACTTGTATAAAGAGCATAAAAATATCAACTTAAAGTTGGGCTCCCCACTTCACAGGCAGAGCTCCACTTGCTTTATGGGCCACTGGCGAAAGGCTCTTTGCATTGGCCTTACAATTTCAATGGCCTTTAACTAGTTAGGTACGTACACTAGCCCCGAGGTAGCCTTGGGAACTGTGGAGTTCTTTGCAATGGCTTTTGGCTTGATTATTATGCGCATTATGTGTTTCTGAGGAGAAACCATTTTAAATGCCTTTTGTTGCCGTATTTGGCTCAGTTGACATGAATCTTGCTCACTTTACAACACGCTCAAAGCGCAACCAAACCACCGCTGCTCCCACCCACTTGTGCCACGCCCCTAAATGGCGTTCTCGTTGACATTTTATTTAACATGCATATTTTTATTTCATTTTGCCAGAGCGACTGTCAGCACTGTGCAAGAGATTTGAGACAGTCCGACGGGTAAACAGAGAGGGAGGAATGGAGTGGAGGAACGGAGAGGAACAGATGGAACAGAAGCGACATTCAGCCAGCGATTTTTGCATTTGGCGGTCTTAAAAAGCTTATACAAATTACAAGGAAGGCGGGAAGAGCGGGCGGGGCGGGCAAAGCGGGCAAAACGGGCAGGCTGACGGCCTGACGAGCTGCTTGGCATTTTGTTTTTCGTTTTCGTTTTTTGTTTTTTTTTTTTACATTTTTTAAGGGGGCGTGTCAGCTTGGGAAAAGCAAGAAAACTTGGAAATTAGATTTTTTAATATTTTATGCAGTCATCACAGCAGTTTGTGGCCTTAAAACGCAGACATACACAATATAAAATTCATGCAAAAATTCATATATACATACGCACATACATACATATATACATTTGGCATAAATATGTATTATATACGTATGTATGTCTGTCTCTCTGTGTGTGTGTGTGTGTACAAATATTTCTTTGAGCATTTTCATTTGCATATTGGAGCATGTTTAAATGCTTTGCGCTTTTCTAATTTCATGTCAAGTTGACAATTTGGGCAGTCAAATGCATGAAATGGATATGTGACAGCAAACGCTGAAGGCAAGGCGAGGGAGGGCACTACGACCAGACACATATACCATAAATATAAATGTCGTATGAGTGCGCCAGCCTAACTCATTGCCATCTATGCTGAAACTTGAGGCATAAATTCAAATAAAAACTGCAGACATTGTTTATAAGAGCGAACTTTAAATTTAAAAGTAAGAGAGTGAGTGAGAGAGTGAGAGAGAGACAGCTAGATTGCTGTGGCTCTAGTAGTGCGTGTGCATAAGTTTTGCTATATATTGAGTCGTCTTAAATCATACCTAGACAAGTCGTATCGTGCTCTCAGTCGTGTTGTCGATGATTCGTGTTAAGTTCGTGTCAAGTCGTGTAAGAGCCACTGAGTGCACATTGAGTAAAGTTCGATTCGTTTATAAGCAGCTGTTGTAGTGCCCATAGGAGTGCAGATTGAGCAGAGTCGTGGGTCGTGAGCCGTGACGTGAGTCGTGCACTCAGTCGCCGATGCTCGTGAGAAGCTGCCAAGCTCTCATCTTGAGTTGCTTGTAGTCGTGTCAAGTCGTGTTAGGCTGTCGAGAGTCGTGTCTAGTCGTGCATGGGTGAGTTCACTTCACTGGTATAAAAAGCCCAGCTGGCTCGTGTTAGATCAGCTTGAGTCGTGAATCGTGTTGAGTGTGCTGCAGGCCGTGTCCTCAGATGTCAGTCATACTAACTACGCTGAGTGCAGTTTCCGAGGTTTCAGAGTGCGAGCGCACATCGGGCAGCACAATTATCTGCTGATTGCCGGCCAGCTTGCAAAACCACTTGGACTTGACGCGCAGCCAGTAGTCAAAGTCCTTGCCCAGCAGGAAGACGTCGGCCGATATTCTGGCCCAGGTGTCGCGCTCGTCGCTGTTCAGCTTCTCCCAGGCGTCGTCGAGCGTCGGTGGCTCGGTGACCACCTCCATCCGGAACTGATCCGTCTTCGGTATCTTCACGATGATGTCCAGCACCAGCACGCTCTCGATCAGATGGATGCCCGCAGCCACCATCGAGACGATGCTCTGCATTCGGCAATTCCTGAAGTACATGTGCGAATTCTCGCCCACGTCGGTCATGAACAGCAGGTGAAAGTCGACCTCGGCGTACCTCATGGACACCAGAGCGCACAGGACGTGCATGCAGAAGGCCAGGACGCCGATGAAGAGCATCGGGCGCAGCAGCGTGCGCATTCCCATCACCAGCCGCACGCAGGTGATCGCTTCGAACACCACGAAGCCCACGAAGGTGCCGCAGAAGAACATGTTGTGGCTCATCGGCTCCTCATTGAGCGTGCCCACGCGGTGTACGTAGATGCAGGCGCAGCCCGCAATCATCTCCAGGAGCTTGAAGAAGAGCCACACCTGATTCATGCTCACGACTCACAGCAAATGACTGGAAAATCTGGGCTTTGTGTGATGAGAGCAACCGGAAAGCAATTCAATTTGAGGGCGACACACACAGGGAGGGCATGTGATTAGCAGGACATTGAGGGCTTCATAGGCGTGCTCAACTGTGCCATTTAATGCCTGCAAAACTCAACGTCAACTCGGGTAATTTTCTTTAATGGCTTTTCATTTTGTCGATAGTGACACTTTCAGTTGTTATCACTGGGCCGTAAAAAAAGGCCCAAAGACAATTACGGGCCTAGAGCGAATGAGAGAGAGAGAGAGAGAGCGAGAGAGAGGGCGCAAAGTGGGCGGAACTGAGAAAGAGAGGAGACGGATGGCGGGCTGGCTAGCATTGAGTGCTAAACAGGAAATGATTTTCTCTGCTCGACTCTAAGAAGTTGGCCAAATGGGCGCGCCCCTTGGTAATGAAATCATGAATTAGATTTGAGCTCGAAAATTGTTATTGTTTTCGGTCACATCTCTCACTCGCACCCCACACACACTCTCTCTCTCTCTCTCTCTCTCTCGCACTCACTCTCTGTGTGGCTTAATGACTTTTGTGGCTGGCTTGTATAGTACTTGGCCAGCATCTCTATGTATCTGTGTGTGTGTGCTGTCTGGCTGTCCAGCTGTCTGGCATATTCCCCAAATGTCTATAAATCCCTTTTAAATGTTTTTAAGCTTTTGTTGGACATTTTCAGCAAAATAGCAGTAGCTGACTGCAGCAGGAGCAGCAGGAGCAGCAGCAGCTGTAATGTGCGCCTGGACACACACACATACACACCCAAACACAACAACAAAACCAAAAGGGAACAATATTAACGTGTCAACGAGAATTTATGTTTACCGCAACTGGACAACTTTCAAAAGCAGCTCCATAGATCCAACATGCTCGCCTGCTCCTGCTGCTGCTGCGGAAGTGGCAGCAAATGCTTTACTGTCTCGCCAGTTAACATTTTTTGCCCCATTGTTGCTGCTGGCCAAGCGTGGCAGGAAAGAAAGCTGCCTGCCCGCCCGGCCGCCCGTCCGTCCGCCTGCCCCTTCTGCATTGGCACACATATGCAAATGATCCATAAATATCAACACTTTGCAGAGACTGAGCGAGGAGCGAGAGAGAGAGAGAGGGTGAGTGAGTGCGAGTGAGATAGCCTGTGGGATGCCTTTGAGAAAACTGCCAGCTAAAAGTGGCCAGCGATTTACACAGCATTTCTCGCACTATCTATCTCGCTCTATCTGACCCATGTGTGCACGCCCCTGCGCATATGTGTGTGTGTGTGTGTGTGTGCTTATGGTAATTGTGCTGAAAACTTGAAGCATTTTGCGAACTGAGACTGAGGCAAAGGCCTCAACAGTGGACGCCATAAATAAATTACATTTGTTGCTCATTAAACGTTGAGTGGCCAAATGGCCGCAATTTAAATTGGAGCGCGGGAGACGAGCGGAACGCGCGGGTGAGCAGCTGAGCGAGACGTTTGGGCTGTTTACCCGCTAAAAGGGTTGCAAGTTTGTTAGCCCGCAGCAAAGTGTGTGTGTGGGTGCCGAGGTGTGGCTGTGAGTGTGTGTGTGTGTGTGTTTGAACTGGCATTGATTTAAGGCTGAAATTCACTTAAGTCCTGTCATTCGCTCACATGTAATTAAGCTCGAGCATGAGTAATGCGACTGCATCATTGCTTAATAATTAAACTTCATTTGCTGGCGCTGCTGCTGGCGCTGCTGCTGCTGCTGCTGCTGGCGCTGCTGCTGCTGCTCCAAGCGAACAACAAAAGTATATATATAGATGTGTGCCTGCCAATATATCATCACAAATTATCCATAAAGTGCGCAGATAATGATAATATGTAGCATTGACAAAGCCAATTCAAGTTGCTGAGAGTGAGTGGAAGGAGCTTTCTTTGTGTATGTGATATAGATGGAACCCTAAACTGTTGAGGCAATCGAAAGAGGTTCGTCTGTTCATCATTGCCTTCTGCACTTTTTATTTTCTGAAGTCAGCTTATCATCTACAGCAACACGATCAGTGCTGTCATTATGAATGATCTCTTGGTATGCTCTAATAATAATAACTATGATATATAATAATTAGATTATAGATAGATAATGATTATGTTAAAATGAGAATGGTGAGTATATTCATAATGCATTATCAGAGCCATGGTTACATACATATATTCGCATGAATCGGAAATAAAATCAAGGAATATAATTTTAAGAAATATTTCAAACAACTACAACTAAACTTTGGCTTCTTCAAAAGTTTCGTATTGTGTTGAGCTGCGGACTTAGATGTCAATAACTCCGTTTATTCTTACAAATTTGACTCCTTTAGGGCTGAGTTTGAATCGAGGCAACTTTTTGGACTGAGCGGACAAAGTTGAAGTCTCTTCCTCTTTCTTTGTATGTTCTGGGCACAAACAAGTTTTTAATGCTTGCTGGCAAAGTTGAACTAATTACGAGTGAAGAAACTGCAAACTACGCATCGCTGGGCTGCCGAAATCAACACCTGGAAACGCACACACACACACAGATATATGATGGCAGGAGATTTGGACAGACATACGCCCAAAAAGGGAAGAGATTGGCCAAAGAGAGTCTCGGCCGAAATGCGGCTCATCAGGTGCTGGCATAAGCCGCTGATATAATGCCTTATTATCATTTAATTGAGCAGCCAGGACCTTCAAACAGTAAACTGCTAAACAGTTTACACAATTTCGTGCACAGCCCTCAACAAAAAGAGACAACAACCGAGCGAGCGAGCGAGCGAGAGAGAGAGAGAGCGAGGCGTAGAGTATTTCACGGCTTTATGACAGGCGGGCAATGATTATAAACCGGCATAAATTTAAATTGAGTGTCACTAACTTGGCCCAGAGCTGCGGCCCTGCGGGCGCAACTGTCTATGGCTGTGTGTGGGGCTGGGCCACGCCCACTGCGTAAACAAGCCGCACAATGACCAGAAAATAACCGAAGCGGCAACAAGAGTTGCGACAAGATGTGGCAGCAGCAGCAGGAGCCGGAGCAGGAGCAGCGCCACCAAAAAACGGAAGCCCAAAGCAAACACAATAACAGTAAGTGAAGCATTTTTCGGCAGGCGGGTGGTGCCGTGGGCGGGTGTGTGGTGCGATAAAGAGAGACATGGCATGGCACAGAGGCAGCGCCAGCGCCAGCGCCAGCAGCAGCGCCAGCTGGATGAGGCAGGAGCCGTAGCTGGCCTGGGCAGGTCAAGCAGCGTATAAAATTCATAAAATATCCGCACTTAAAACGCTGCTGGCCAAAAAACTTAAAACTAAACCGACAAATGCCGACCCAGATATATATATATATATATTTTATTTAATTTTTTTGTTTTTCTTTTATTTTTGTTTTTATTTATTTTAGTTTTTTTTCTTTTTGTCTTTTGTATTTTTAGGGCAGAGCCCGAGCAATTTGTGCGCTTCTTGGCAGCTCTGCTTGTGCTTTTGTCAGCTGCACATGTGGTCAGTGGGCGTGACCACACCCACCCACCCACACACACACACATACCCAGTTCATTATATTTCATGTACATTTGATGTTGATCTGCTCAAAAATGTGACTAAAATGCAGCAATTATCCAAGTGTTAATATTTATGAGCTAGTTGTTGTTGTTGCTGTTGCATGTTATTTAAATATTGTTGACATATTGCACTTGACAATAAAAATATCAATAACAAATTACAAAGCGACGCGCCACAGCAATCAAAACAGCAGCAAAATCAAACAATTGGCAAATAATTTGGCTCGTCCGATGGTCGAGTGACTACAGCACACACACACACACACCCACTTGAGTGTCCATTGGGCACTGGGTATCAACAACCTGGCAAATAGCAGCAGCATTGGCCTGCCCCACTTGATGCAGGGCTTCTGGGGTAAGCTATCAAAATGCTGTCATTGTTTCAAATGCAAATCATTGAAAACAGGCCACTAAACACGGCAGGCAACAGCAGTGTGAAAGGGGAGTGGGCTGGGGTGTGCGAGGGGGATGGGCGTGGCAGTGGCGTACACTGTGCTGCTTGTTTGATTTATGCCCATGTGCGTGTGCATTTAAGTGCAAATTGCTGCATTGTTGCAATTGCTGTTGTTGTTGTTGTTGTTGTAGTAGTGGAGTGTAGCTTGTGCCTCGTATATTTGTATATTGCATTTTGTAAACATTTAATATTCCAATTATGCGGCACAATTCAATTGACAATTTGCTCAATGCTAATGTCGCCACAAAGCGCCTGAACAACAGCAACCGGAATTGTGAATGTGTGCATGTGTATTTCAGTATATGTGTGTGTGTGTGTGTGCTTCCGCTTGTTTGCCTGGCGATATAATAATTTGTAGCATACCTTTGGGTGCTGTTCGAAAATCACTTGACTGCGGGCTGCACTAGCAACGATGAGCACCGCATGTATGCAGCTGCTGTTGCAACGGACATTCATCATATAATGGCATTTATGCGCGAAATTCACTTAGCCCACGTCCAGTTGCCGTTAAACATGCAAATTGAATTCGCTTAATTAAAATGATTCCATGCAATCCACAAAAATCCACACAATAGACTGCGCTGTGGACGGCATGTTAAGGCCAGAGCCCATCAGTTGCCCCACTTGAGCAAAACTGTTAAAAATAACAGCATAGCACTTGGCTTGCGCTAGCATTCTGTTGGGCAAACAGCGTAACAGTTACCCCCGCGCTGATTGGCTCCTGTTAAATTCATTTCAGTTGGCAGCTGTTAAGCCACTTTATAGTAACTCGGCATATGTTGTTTAAATTTTATGGCAAACTAACAGCTGTTGTGTGTACAGAACTGTGTTATGTTATCTAACAGGCAGGGGTAATGCGTGTGGAACGTAAGTGTTATCAAAACTGTTCCCAGCTGGGGTGAGCTGCTGAACAGCGCAATGTTAATGCTGAGGCGCTGTTAATGGACATTTTAAAGCAAATAATTCACTTTAATTTGTGAATAAAAAGCAATTGTAAATAAAAAGAAATAAAAACACCTCTAGAGTCTAAAATAA